ATTCAGGAGGACTTTAAGAGACAAGACAGATGAACATAAGGGAAGGGAAACAAAAATAATATAAAAACAGGGAGGGGGACAAAACAGAAGAGACTCTTAAATATGGAGAACAAACAGGGTTACTTGAGGGGTTGTGGGAGGGGGGATGGGCTAAATGGATAAGGGGCATTAAGGAATCTGCTCCTGAAATCATTGTTGCACTATATGCTAACTAATTTGGATGTAAAATTTTTTTTTAAGTTTAAATTAAAAAAAAAAAATGGAAAGGGAGAGGCAAGGTGTTCATTCATTCAAATGTGTGTAGAACACCTACCATGTGCCAGACTCTATAACAGGTCTTCACACTGTTCTTCTGGTGCTGATGGTCTATGGCTGGGAGAGGCATTAAACAACTCGTTACAGCAAAGTTGATTTTATAAAGACAAAGGAGTATAAAGGGGTATGGGAATACTAGGTGATCTCACAGGCCCTTCCAACTCTGATATTTTATAACTGCATGACGAAGCCTACATCTATCTGTTAGATGGCCCCTGAGAGACAGTCATACAGGATTATCCATGTAGAGAACAACTTTCTCCTATACAAATCCACTTCTTAATTAGAGTATCAACGAAGATGTGGAGTTTCCATAGCTACCCAACAAGTAAATGGTGAAAGCACATGAAGAGTTGCCTCTATAGACTATGTTCTGGAGTGGAATCATGTCATGAAAGCAGCTTTGAATAAAGGGATAAGGAAAGAGTAAGAGAAGTAGGATTTCCAGGGGCAACTAAGGTAAACATTGTTTAATGTTTAAAAGGCAAAAAATATGTAAGTTGATGGCTTCAAATTATTATTGAGTATTTTTTTTATTCCCCAGGGGTTTTAATGATCACCAGGAAAGAACCTTTAAAGATAAATTTTTATTTTGCTGCATAAATAAGTAGCTTTCTACCAGACAAGCAGATCCAGTAGACAGCTCTCCTGTAACGATTTAGTGAATTCAAATCATACCTTGCAAATACTGTGCCTTGAGACCTCCTTCTCCCCAAATCTGAACTATTCTAAGAACTAGGAAACGCGACCATGGTAATGCAGCAATGTCAAACTATATACAGGTCCCACAAGTTTCATCAAGACAAACGTAACTGAGTGCAAACCAAAAAACCATGGTGAGGAGGAAGAATTAAGAGCCTTCCCTTGATGAGATTTGGGAGAATTTAATCCAGTGCTGCTGACCGTGTACTTGATTTTCTAAGGACTCTTGATTTGGCTGGTGTTGAAGTCCTTCCTTTTAACCTCACATTAGAAGAAGAAAAACATCCTTTGATTCTTTGATAGGGTCAGCTAAGAGCCAAGAAAAGAGAACAGCCAATTCCTGCCGCTCAGATTTTCCTTTCGCATTACTGTGGTTAATGCTAAGGATTAGTTTGCTCTAGTTAAAGTGTTCAGACTTGATATAAGCCATCTGTGGTCATGGATAAACACAAATGTTTTGAATGCCCACAGGTAGGGGTAATTTCACTATCTCCTAGAATCATCTCACAGGATCTTAAACAGCTATTGTTCCAGCTAAAGACACAAAAGGAACACACTCATGAATTTCCTGTTTTTCCGACCTTAAAAGTTCTTACACATGCAAAACACCTCACGCCCAACACCCAGCTCTAGGTCAAGTAGCCCTCACACCCAAATCCCTCCTGCCTCTCCTGTATCTGAGCATTCCTGGAGTAATTGTAGGTAGAGGTCAGCACCTCAGCAGCTGACCAAAGCTCGCTGCTCTCATTGAAGGGACCAGCAGATTACAGCTGGAAAACTCATGCAAGTCACTCCCCTTTTTGAAGATGTGATAGAGTCCACGCCAATATTACTGCCAAAGGGTCAGCGATTCCTGGGCCCACAGGGCCCCTGTACAAGGGGTCAGCTCACAAGTCCACGCCAACGAGAGAGGCCTCTTGTTTCTGACCCCCAGCATCCTGGGCTCTTTCAGGGTTTTTCCTGCCCCTGAAATGCCTGGTGAACAACAGGCTGAATCTGACCCCGCGGTGACCTCCAGACAGCCTAGAGGCTCCTGGGCAATAAAGACGTGGTACTAAAGGGGTCCCTGAGGGGATTTTATTAGCTCTGCTTCCAGGTGAGGAGGAGGAACCAACCATCAACAGGGGCTGGCAACGTTGCCGCCCAAGACGTTAAAGCAAAGCTAGCATTTAACAGAAAAATTACGTGAAAAGAAGAAACAAACGCTCCTTTACACCAGAGACCTAGTTGTGAGAAATACAAATGAATTGTATTCAGAAATAGAGGTATTATAAAAAAGGTCAGGGGGGTGGGGGGGGGGGTGATGAGCATTGAGGAGGGCACCTGTTGGGATGAGTACTGGGGGTTGTATGGAAACCAATTTGACAATAAATTTCATATTACAAAAAAAAAAAAAAAGTCAATCCTCCAACTATTGCCCGTGATAAACTGACCTGACATTTAGGGTCCACAAGTATGACCCGCACATACCCCCTTGCCTTACAAATTCTCTTACACATACCCTAATTGAAAACATGTCCAAAAACTAAAAAATAACTACCCTTACTGTCTATGGCAACTACCAGATCTGCAGGGAAACTGGGACAAGGGGAGACAGAGGGGCAACTAAATCACTGAACCTAGAAAGAAGACCCCAGAGAAGTTAAGAAATGATCAGCAGATTTTCTCTCCCTTTTCTCAGTGTCTGCTCAAGGATATGATTGGGCAGAAGCTTATTTCCTCAGGGACTAAACGGTGTTCCATAATGCTCAAGTATTACCGCTCCAACTAACGCGGGGGCCACGAAGCACCCTCCACCCTTCCCTTTGGCCATAAGTTTTCTAAGGAGTATATCGGAGTGGATACAAGTAGGCAAGGAACCCCCCTAACTCTGGGTTCAACTAATGCCCTCCCCTGATCACCCCAACACCAGGAAAGTCCATTAGGACCTCCTCTCTCTCTCTAGCCAGTATCCTAGCCACCTTCATCCTAAACCTGGAATTCATTCTGAAAACAAAAGGAAACAACAACACACTTCAGGTAAGGAGAATTAATGCTGCCGCAAAGAAATAATGTGAAAGACCAGGGAAAGACTTTCTGCAGGACAAACACCTTTAAGTTTTTGATTTTTAAGTGACCTTACAAGGTAAGTCACAGGTTTCTCCTTAAATAGGGTTTCTCCTGGGTCCTTGGTCCTAGCAGGGCCCTAGGTTCTATTTTTGATGTGAACTTATCCCTGCTTGTAAAATTGGCAAAAATCACTTAGGTCTTCCTGCCTCTTCCCTTAACCTCTTGTTTTCAAGTTATGTCCTCCCCCTCTTAGCATCTCCTCACCTTGTAAACCACAAGGGAATCCACCAGGATTAGGAAATGCCTCTACCTCATTCACCAACACCTCCAAATGCTACTCTAAACCCTAGCAGGGACAACACACAGAGCACCAGGCAAGGGCCCAGGGCATTCACTGCTGGATACCAGCTGCAGACCCACTCAGGTTTCCCGGGTCTATGCCCCCACCCCCCGGCCCTTCCCCACCTCCAGCCCTCTCCCCACAGCCAGGGCTGCATCCTTTCATTTTTCCTTCATCCTCGGTAATCTCACATCACCTCTGTCTGCCTTGCGGCTGTTTTTACACTGGTCTCCTTTTCTTCCCCTTTCCTCTCTTCAGCCATACTCAAGAAGCACAGACTATTTATTCTACTTTTGCCCCATAAATAGCTCAGTGATGATGTTAGGAGGAAAACCTACAGCCACCAAGACTCCTGCTGTAGACATCGGTCACACAGAATCCTCCTCTCCTCTCTTTTGAGCATCCACTCAAAAGAATACTTTTCAGGTATTCAAAGCCGGGGGGGGGCGGGGGGGGAAGACGGGCTGTGCCCGAGGCATCCCTAAAGTCATCAAAAAAAAGGTGGCTTTGAGCATCTCACCGCTGGCATATTTGCATACCGTTTGATGTAGCTTTAATTCCAAAGACAGTCTCAAACACTCAAGTGGGTATGTTACAGTAGCCAGGAATTGCAAATGCGCTTGCCTCAAAGACTCAGGAGTCCAGTCCAGGGCAGGAAATAAAGTTCTAAGCGGCTTTGATGTGCTTCCTCCCCACTCCCCTCCCCAGCGTGGGTCATTCATCTCCGCCGACGAGAGACCACCTTGCCCGAACTTAACCAAACGCATTACACGTGGGAGCCAAGTGGTAGATTTAACAATCCAATGAGCTCCGCAGCCCCACCAAATTAGTTACCAACGGCTTCGGCTCAGCTTGGGATCCCCGACTGCTAAGAAAAGGAATGTTGAGCCTAAACTGGAGGAACCGGGGTAGGAAGGGACGGAGGACCCAGATCCGCGGAGAGCAGGTCTTGGCGGCGCGGTGAGAGCTTGTTTCTTTTTTGAGCCACTGATTTCAGACTGAAATATCAAGCCAGTTCAGGTCATTTCCTGAGTAGCACTACAAGTTAAAACAAGATCCAAAAAATCTATTAATCTTTAATTGCGCTGCCTCCCGCCTGGGAGCACGAGGTGGGTAGGGCGCAGGGGTGTAGGGCTGGGGGCGATCGGGAGGGACCGGCCGTTTGTCGGAAACCAAATGCCTGAGAAGCCAGAGCTCGCGACCTCAGCTGTTCCTTACCTCACTCAGTTCCGCCGAGGAGTCGTTTCCATATTTCATGGCAACTCCAGAATTCATGACTGCACTTTTCAGAGCCGAGCTCCTCCTCCTCCTCCAGGTCTCGGAGCTTCTGAGTTGGGCTTACCAGGCTCGATAGCCACCGCTTGGTCCCTCCTGGCACATTTTAGTCTAGACAGCCATTTTCACCCAAGACAGTGGGGAAGCCCCAAGGAAGGATGCAAGCTCTCCTGGAAGGCACAGAGCCGGCTGGCGTTTCACGGACGAGCCATTGCTGCAGGAGGCTCGGCGGTGTGGCGCGCTCGCAGCTGCTACAGCGGCCGAGCCGGCGCGGGGACCCGCCCGCGCGTTCCCACCGCTGGGTCCCGGGGAACTGCCACCCTCCGAGCCGCCGAGCCGCTCCTACCGGGCCTCGCCGCCCCCCATTACCAGGCTGGAGGGCACCTCCCAGTAGGATCCGGCACCCCGGAGGGCTTCAGCGAGCTCCCGAAGAAACCAGGGCGGCGGGGAGAGCGAGACCCGCGCCTCGGGCTCCAGGGAGGGAAAGAAAGCTACAGAAAGCCGGAGCGGGGCTGCACTTCACGCTGAAGTTTCCCTTTTGAATCGTCTGGAGTTGTAAGTGGTTTCTGATTGAACACAGCTGTCTAGCTGCTCGGTGCGCGGAGAAGGCGGGGCCAGAAAGAGAAAAGGGGCGGGGGGGGTGGGGAGGAGGCCGAGTAGAGGGGACCTTGCCGGGAGAGCAGGCATCCTTCCAGCTCTCTGCGATAGTAATTACAGGACCCAAGTCCAGGAGGAAGAGAAGAAACAGAAAAGGCCACCTGAGTATTTGTGCAGAATTTTTTTTTCAAAATTCCTCCTAGAAGCCCCTTTCCATGATCTAATAAGGTCAAGACAAATCTGACCACTTGTACATCAGGCAGCGCTGTGCACTTCTCATGGCACATTAAGTTTTACAAGAGTGTAGGACGGTCATTTTCCCCTGATCTGTCTAAAGTCAACACCGAGGGTGTAAATTCACTGTGAAACTCCCTCTCTGTCGCTGGGGCAGATTACATTTTCTGCATGTCGATAATAAAGATGCAGATGCCCCATTCCTTGAGAGGTATAAAATAGGCTTAAATGTTCCATCCTCCCCAACGCTAGACTGTCCTTTTAAATGTTACATTCTCCATCCTCTTCAACCCCCATGCCCTCCTTAAAAATCTCACTGCTCATCTGAGCAGAGCTAGGTCCGTATTTCTGGGGTTTGGAGTATGAATCAGAAAAGATTCAATGGACTGTTATATCCCGTAGACTGGTGGAATCAGAACTCCCCTCAGTTTTGAGTTTCCCTGAAGTAAAAGCATCCCTGTGTAGGGAGGTGACAGGGAAGGGATTTTTCTCCCCTTAAAGGTTAAAGTCCCTCTGAACTTGAAATACACTGAAAAAATGTTCTGATCCTTCCAACAGTAGGTCTGCAGGATTGCTTAAGAGGCCGCATCAGTCTCTTTCTACACAATGGGAACAAAATGTCTCCATCTCCAGTGACAGACTTGGCATTTCCTAGAGCCTTCTATGAAAAAGCCATTGTATTGTTAATTTCCAAGGTCTTTTTTTTTTTTTCAACTCAAATAGGATGTTTATTTTGCTCTTTAAGAAGGAGCAAAGAGCTTGACCATTTGCATTTATCTTCTTACCCAGCTGCCTTCCTGGTGAGTTCATTCATTGCCTGATAGAGGCACTATTGGGATAAAAAAAAGTTTGCTGCTTTGGGGGAGCACTGGGTCCCAAGTTTCGAGGCACTGCCAGACTAGAGCACATTGGGAGAAGCTCTTCTGCATGGGGAGAGGCTAGGAAGCCACATTTACTTTTCTTATTTACTTATTAAAACCTATTGAGAACTGGGGCCCCTGGCTGACTCAGTCAGTGGAGCATGTAACTCTTGATCTCCAGGTTGTAAGTTCAAGCCCTGTGTTGGGTGTAGACATTACTTAAAAATAAAATCTTTAAAAGTCATTAAAAAAAAAAAAAAACCCTGTTGAGAACTGAATGTGTGTTTGAAGATGGAGATGGTGGTGAAAGACTATAAAAATATAAAGGAGACTCAAACACTAGCCCTGCCCATAAGGTGTTTATAGTGTCATAAAACATAAAGAACATAACAGTTCTGGATAGAAAATGAAACTTACCATGAAAGCAACACAAATGAAGATCTAGTGCAGTTCAGGGGAGGAAATAGGATTTTGGCTGGACTGAGTTGGAGGAGAACTGTGAAGGAATCTTAGGAGAGGCAGCATGTGAGTTGATCTCTGGAGGGCGGAGTCCAGCAAAGATGGGGAGTAAGGTGAAGCTACCCCAGACAGAGGGACCATGTGAAAGAAAATATGGATGGAGGATGGAATGTGCCTGGCATGTGACGGGAATGGCAGGTGTTCCATTTTGGAGTGGAACCTGGATTAGGTAAGTGAGTTACAGCCAGATCATGAACAGTTTTGAGTGACAGGCCAAAGGAATGGGACTATGATAGGCAATGGAGATCCACTAAGGGTTTTTGAGCACAGAAATAATAGGATCAGAGCTTTGCTTTGAGACATTCCAGTGGATTTGTACCACACTCGTGAGCAACTCATATGAATTCAAATAGACTAGTGTTGAGTGTGATTCTGGTGTTTAAAGAAACATATTTTTCATACTAGATGGCCCCTAAAACCAAGCAGATGACTTCATCTGGTGTTCAACCAAAAGAAAATGATCTGTTCCAAGACTGAAGGAAAAATTGGCAGTGTTGAACTTATTAAGAAGCAGTATGACTGCAGATTCTACTTTATGGACAATATAAGGCATTTTCAAGAGGAAAGTTGAATATATGGAATTTTCTTCTTAAATAGTGACTTGAATACTTAACCACCACAGAAGATGCAACTCCATGACAATCTGGCAACAGAGAATGTAAGTTGAAAGTGGGACCTGAACATGCCAATGAGACTATCCCAGTAGGTCCAGCAAGAGGCTACAAAGGCCTGAATTAAGTTGGAGCAATGGAAATGGATGGGAGGGGCAGATGGAAGAGATTCTATAGGAAGGGAGTAGACAGGGGCACCTGGGTGGCTCAGTCAGTTGAGCATCCAACTCTTGATTTCAGCTCAGGTCATGATCCCACAGTCATGGGATCGAGCCCCACATCAGGCTCCATGCTGATCATGTGGAGCCTGCTTCGGATTCTCTCTGTCCCCCCCCCCTCCCCCCGTCTCTGCCCATCCCCTGCTCATGCACACTTGCACATGCATTTACACGTGCTCTTTCTCAAAATAAATAAAACTTAAAACAAAAATTTTTTAAAGACTCTCTCTCTTTCTCCCTCTACCCGTCTCCCTTGCTCTATTCTCACTCTCTCTAAAAATAAAACAAATAGGCGTGTCTTTCCTGACAGCTCAGAGCCTGGAGCCTGTTTCGGATTCTGTCTCCCTCTCTCTCTGCCCCTCCCTCCCTCATGTTCTGTCTCCCTGTCTCTCAAAACTAAATAAACATTAAAAAATTTTTAATTAGGTAAATAAATAAATAAGGAAGAAAGTAGACAGAGACTGTGGTGGAAGGAGGAGAACTTAAATGTGACTTGTAGATCTACAATGTGGCTGAGTGTGGTTTCAGGCAATGTCCTCAACAAAAACAGGGATTCCAAAGAAGGAATAGGTTAGGGAGGAAACTATGTTTGAGATATCATAAGTTTGAAGTGACAACTGGATATTCAAGGGGAGCTGTTCAGCCAGAAGCTTGCAGGGGAGCTACAGGGATAAATCAGGGTTGAGATGGAGATGAAGGTTTGGGGTTACCCCTATTAAAACAATAAATAAAGCCGTGAAATCAAGTATGGTTGCCAAGGAAGAAAAGACAGGGAAAAGAGGTCTGAGGACATTCATTATCTTAAGGAAGGTCTTTTCATGGAAGGTAAAAAAAAAAAAAAAAAAGAGGAACCAGCAGGGAAGGCCAGTTAGCAGAACTAGGGAGATAACCAGAAACTCTGGTCTGGGAGTCTAAGGGAGATGTTGTCAAGGCAAGAGGGCAGCATCTATATTATAAGCTACAGAGAGAGCAGAAGCCTGAAAACTGATAAAGGAGCACTTCAAAGACATTAATGTCCATCGAAGAGAAATTTCTACAAAGCTAAGGAGACGGAATGCAGATTACCAGAGCAAATGAAAAGGACCTGTGATGAGTAACCGTGTACTACTCTTTCCATAAATTTGATACTGACAGGAACTCGGCAGATGGCATAATTTCTTAGAGTAGGTAAGCAGTACTGAGTAGAGGATAGGATAGCATATGTGAAGTCTGGAGATACAGAGAGAGAAGGCGGATGGACCAAAGTTCCTGAGAAGGGAGGGAAGGACAGAGCCAAGGACCATGAGATTAGCTTTGGATAGGCTTGAGGAGGCAGAGGATTCTGATGCTTCTTCCCAGGAGAGCAGTAAGGGTTGAGAGAGCTGGAGACTTTACAAACTAGTAGCAAGAAGACTTCAGACATACATACTAACTAATAGCACTTATTGAAGAGCCATCCAACTTCCTTCTGTGTGATTGTGGAGGGGGTAATGAAGACTAATAACTTGTAATTAAATTTTACTTTAAGGAAAGGAAGACCTGTCGATGCAAGAATAGAATAGTCGTGACCTTGACCTCTGAAATTGTTCAAGAACGGGGGAAGGCTGGTGGGACACACTGAAAGTCATTCGAATGTGGAGAACGGTTTCATGCAATGAGCTTTTCCCAATGTAAGATTCCATGAAATGAAGTGTTTTTTTGTTTTGTTTTGTTTTTTGCTATCATTTAAACATTTTGTTATTTTTCTTAACCTGTTAGTCTAGTCAGAAATCAAGCTGGGAATCTCTACCATCAAGAAAGCTAAAGATAAGTGCTGTACACAAGATGTCAACTGGGTCAACATCCTAAGTACCTGAGAAATGCAAGGAGCAGCCCAGCATGTCATCTCAGCACACTGGAGGGGAATAAAGCCCCAAATGCATTTCCAGTATAATAAGAGAAAGGTCTCAAGGTTAGCACTCACCATAGTTTACCAACTATATAACTGAATGCCTACAAATCCTTCCACATTGTGGCCACCTCAACGTGATACCTCTAGAAGAGCTTCTCCAAGTTCTGCTTCAGCAGAGAGTCGGCTCCAGTCAGAGGTGTGGGTAGGAGGTGGCCGAGGTGTTTATCAGCATCAGAGAGCAGGGCTGGGAGGAGCAGGAAAACCTGCTTTCTAATGGGGCAAGACCCTGAGTTCCCTTCCTTCCTGGGCCTTGTCTTCCCTAAAGGCTAATCTCTGGGATAAGAGGCAGCCACAGCCCTGGGAAAGTTTCTGGGAAAGCAGAGGTTGCCATTTGCAGGAGTGGATGGGACTGTGTGCTGATCACACACTGTAGCCACACTGGCTTTCTGCTGTTGGGGGCAGTCTGACCCCTCTATGTATGGCTGCTGACCTTGGTGAGTTTCTATACAGTAGGGATAATATTCTGGGTCTTGTCTGTAGTCTCTACTGGTAATGAATATCAGATTAATCAAAGAAACCTTAGGCAAAGATCTTGAACCTCCAGCATTAAGGAAATTGACTGAAACTTTGGGGCTGGCTAACCTGAGCCCTCTGTCTCTACCCCCCGGGTATCCAAACCACCCTTGCTTGCATAGCAGTCCTCTGTGCTGGGTCAGGCTTGTCCTCCTCCAGCTCACACAAGAACCCAAACTCCAAAACTGTCCCATGCTGCCTTGAGTCTCTCAACCCAAACACAACAGTTGATACCTCAGATTTTAAGAAGAAAGCAGTAGTTAAGCTAATTCACACAAAGGTGAAAAATACCTCCTAATCTTCTCAACCAAGCCCAAAGCATTTGCATTGGAGAAAGAGAATGCTTTTTAATGATGCTAAAAGGTGGGATTTCTTGAAGAAGAAAGTTACTTTTCAGGGGAAAGGGAGATTTCAGATCTGTAGGGATTCAGGAAGTCCCAAACCCCTAATTCCTTGAGGGTCATAAAAGTCAAACTATACACTCAAAAGAATTTCCTGCCCTAAATCTTTAAGCCTACCCCACTGTCCCACCCCCATGAGTCCAGAAATGCTCTCCATAACCCAACTCCTATGGCCCCCCTGCTCAATCACCAAGCCAGCTTTTCTCTCAGGCACTGGGCCAGGCGTGAGTCCCAGGTTGGGAACCTCCCGACAGCTTTGATGGCCTGTCCCATCACAGACCTCATTTGCTCCAGGTGCCACAACATAAAGAATTCAGAGAGCATTGCACTGGACAGTCTTTGTCTTGGTCTCCGTGCCCTCAGAGAACAACATTAAAAAACTGGAAGAAATCCTATAATCACCTAGCTCCGCCCTGCATCCCACTTACCTAGATGACGATATGCAGAGTCAGCAAGTTTGTGGTGTTCATTCAAAAAAAGAAAACCATCCACTATGTGCCAGACATGGTGCTATGCCTTGGGATTTAGCAGTATATGGGGCAGAAAAAAATCCTTGCTTGGTGGAAAATGATTATAAACAAAGAATACAGCTTGTGATGGGTGTTATCAAGGAATTAAACAGGAGCTGTGATGATGGAGAGCAGGCCCATTAAATGAAGCAATCAGAGATGGTCTCAATGAGGAGATGACATTTCAGCATGAAGGTCAGGAAGGAACCAACTAGGCAGAAAGTGGGAGAAGACCAAGCAGTGGGAGCAGCAAGCGCAAAAATTCAGGGGCAAGAAAGGACTTGACTTTTCCAATAAATTTCAATAAACTTCAAGTCTGTTATTTAATTTTAAATATTGAGAAAAAGTAGTGTGAAGGAACATGATGAAAAAGATGATGGAGGAAACAGACCATGCAGAGTATGTGTAGGCCATAGATTTCATTCTGTGTACATGAAGATGCCACAGGAAGACTAAGTGGGGCAGAGACATGTTCCAATTTACATTTTTAAAAGGTAAATCTATTCCTATACAAACTTTACCACTGGGCAACCTAAAAAATAGACAAAAGAAAGTTCTTGCTTTATAGAAGTATTCCTTTTTTTAATGTTTTATTTTACTTATTTTGAGAGAGAGAGAGAGAAAGAAAGTGTGTGTGCACATGTGATTGGGGTAGAGGGCAGAGAGACAAGAGAGAGAATCCCAAGCAGGCTCCATACTGTCAGAGCAGAGCCGAACATGGGGCTCAATCCCACGACCCTGGGATTATGACCCGAGCTGAAATCAAGAGTCGGACCCTTAGTCGACTAAGCCACCCAGGCGTCCCCTAGAAGTAATCCTGTGAATAAGTGAAGAATTGATTGAAATGGAATATCCCTATTTTACAACCACTAAAGAATTGATAGATTTAGGTATAAAGCACATCTACTAACATCACAAAACAACATAACACCACCACACACACGACTTCTGATGGAAGAATACACCTATGAAGACATCTCAGCAGTGTTTAACATGAGGAAACATGTTAAATTAACCACAGGGTGCAATCAGTGAAATCCAGACTCTACAGGACAAACAATCTGGGTTCTTCAAATAAATTGCAAGGGGAAAAAACACAAGTGGGCGAGTAAAATATTAATGGAAGGGGAAACCTATAGACATATCAGCCAATTATAATGCGTGGTCCTCATTGGGATCTTGAGTCAAACAACCTGACTGTAAAAAATTAAGATATTTATGAGACATTCAGAAACAATACTTTTCAGATATTTGGTGATTTTAAAAGTTACTTTTTAGATGTGTTAATGGTCTTAAGGTTATCCTTAAAAAGAGTCGTTACCTTGTATAGTTATATATTGAAATATTTAGGTGTGAAATGACACAATGTCTTGGATTTGTGTCAAAATACTAGAGGAAAAAAAAATACTAGAGGAAAAAAAAATACTAGAGGAGACAAGGATATAGGTGGGGTTTTCAGTGAAACAGACTGACATG